TTCAGAGGAGCTCGTGTCACTGCTTAATTTTACAATTTGAGAATTGTGATAACTCACATTAACAACAATGATGCAGAACCTTGAATATGACTTTGTTTAAAAAATCATTGGAAATATGGCCGCAATGAAGAGACTGCTATCAAAGTTAGATGAAAATAACATTATTTCTTTAAGTTTATTTTACGATTGGTATGGTGGAGACACAATAACGCGCGTTGATGATTTTCGGAGTGAGACGAAAAAATATAACTCAGTACTCACTGCAGTGAGAGACAGAGAGCGCATTTTCTCGTCGACGAAAACTTGAGGTCACGGACAGACGGACAGACGGACAGGCAGACAGACAGACGGACATGACTAGCACAATAGTGCATTTTTTATTATTATTATTAGAATTATTCATTTTTTATTAGAATTATTCGTTTTTATTATTTTGTTAGTCGAACACTCATAATGGTTTCAAATTTGGAACATTTTGAACCATTTTTAAAGTGAATGATTGAAGATGCAATATAGGATAGCAATATAAGAAGCAATAGCATCCTATATTGTCGTCTGTATCATTCATGTAGTTGAAGTCTATTGGTAGGAACCAAGGTTCCGGTGTACTAGCCAAAAGTGAAAAAAAATTCCAGGTCTTATTACCTTAGAACAAAAATTTCAATATAAATAATGAATTTCTTTTGCATATGAGCTCTATTGTGAAAAATTATACGAAAAATAAAGCAATTTATACCATTGATGTCATAATTATAACTGGGATATAGGGTTGGAAATTTTGCACGCCCCTTCGTCAGGTACAAGATTCTCAAGTTAGTATAGTCTTACTTCTGCAGAGTATAATTCATTTATCAATTCTACGTTTAAATTCTGAATTCGTAGTACAAAATATCAAATAATTCTATTTAATTAATTTATTAGTTAATTAAAATGTACAATATTTTATTCTTTAATGCACCTCTCGTGGAAAACTAGATAGTATTTCGCTTTGACTCTTTCCTTTCTTTTCTCGTTTCGGCTTTTGGTAGGATATGAAAATTTCCACGGGACATTAATAAAAGGTTTCCACGGGACATTAATAAAATTTAGATTCTGGAGCGAGATAGCACAAACATTTAGTATTATAGATTCAACTCGATAATGAAACTCAGAATTCATCCGGATATAATTTCAACATCCTGACAGATCTAATGGATGTTAAATTGATAGCTGCTTCTAGTCCATATTTATGGTCAAGGTTCTAGTCCAGTGGAAGTTTGCACCAGCATCATCATGCGTCGCTTTGCACCGGCGCTATATGAGTGGCGATAGCTGTAAATTCATAATAATTAATGTTTGCACATATGTTATTATAAAATCCAAATTTTGGACAAAATCTTCACCATGCTTGATAATGAATAATTTCCAATCGAAACATCGTAAAGTTATAATAAAATGCTCTATGTAAACCCTAATTTTAATTTCTAAAAATTACCTAAGCTTAATTTACCAAATCAAGAAAAAGACTAGAAAAAAACTTTACTAAAAAAATTATCTGGTTTTCAGTTCAACTTCGTTAAAGAGCAACTTCTGCGTATTATTTTTATCCTTAAACTTATTAGGTAGTTTTAAGTTATGAACGACGCGCCAATTAACCGTCGTTTGGATAATCGCCCTTGATATCATATTAATAAATTATGGTGATAATAATCGTGATTGAGAAAATAGCCACGTTCAATGCAATAGAAACGAGAACGGTTCTAAACAGAATTTGGTGTCACTTTTTATCCTGCTTATTAAGACAACCTGCGTCCAATTAATTAAAAAAAATTTGTTTCTATTAAATTACGGTTGCCGCGCACGACTGGAAATACTTGTCATCAATATGGTGAAGATTATCTACTATAATTGGATACATTTAATGTTACAAATAAAAATTGAAATGAGCAAAATTGCCATTAAAAAAGTCACCTGTTTTTATAAGTGACTCTTCAATACTTTGACTCAACGTTTCTAATAGTAGGTAATACTTGCCGGCGCTAGCGATGAACCGCCAGTAAAGTTATGAATTAGCTCTTCCTTTCTTCATTAGAGGCGAAATTCGAGTAGCACTGACACGCACCAGCGCTCAAAATGCGATCGCAGCGATACACCAGTGCACGACCTACCTCTATACCATGCACACTACGCCGGCCTCTGTTGCAGAATTACGAATTTTATATGCTAGTAAGTAATCGTCATTTAAGAGTTGAAGGAACAAATTACAATACAAGTTATTCAGATGATTACAAATTAACCTGTTCTTAATGTATAGAACTTATACTAACCTGCTGTGAAGATTGGACGGACGATAATGAATGACTATAATGAGTGAATGTGAAAACGACGTGAACTACCTAAACGGTGTTGCCATGGTAAAGGGAAAATAATTATTTAGTCGAAAATAAAATTCGTTACTTTTACTACCTTACACTATCACCGCCGCTTCTTCCATCATTTCTTATTTCAGTCCAAAAGCCGCTTAATGAAAACGTTAATTCATGAATGCAACAATACTTCTGGACTTGTGCAAGGTTCTTCCAAGTTATTTCATTTTCATTCAAATGTAGCCGTTTCGTGAATAGGGGTCAAAATTTCTATTAAATAGCCTCTAATTTTGACCAATCGAGTAGCAGGTGAACATAAACTTAAATAGTGCTTCTTACCGTTGCCAGTCACGTGCCGAACACTTGGAGGCAACGAATTTCTTAAAGCCTAAGCTCTAACTTGAAATATTTATAAATATCAAACATCAAAGAGTTTTAATTGTACAGTGGAAATGAATTAGATGTTCAGTGCAAAGATAATACAAGTTGTTGGCATTTCACCGCCACGACGCAGTGAGGGTTTAACCTTTCTTTCTCGACGCTTTCAATGTGGAGCAGAGAAATTTTTTATGTGTTATCAGGAAAGGATTTATCGACCGTTGCGATACGACCCCTGAACTAAACAATTCTGGTGCCCTAAGACAAATGATGGGGAAAATTCCACGATGAGATTATTTGACCAAATACTGTGGTCCGCTGGTAATTTCGCGAGATAAATATTGTAAAAATATTTGAAATGTTTCACGATCAGATATTTTGATGCTGAGATGAAGAACGCTAAAAATATAGGGATATTTTTCATTTGTATAAAATCATCCTTGAGTCAATTATGTGGTATCACATTAGCTTTCGAAATCCAAGCGAAGAAATCTGATTAAATGTTTAATATTTTTTATCACTATCCACATTTAAAAGAAAATTTTTTACTGTTTTTAGAATACTTTTTCAAGATCTATACTTAAATGACAGCCGCATCTAAAGTATTAAAACAGTTCATCAAGATCAATACTCCACCACTTTGTATTACGTTCACACATTTACCCTATACTCCTTTCTAAAATTCTGATATTTTTTTGTAGGCACTTTTATTTACTATTTCTTTTGTACTGAATTCTTTTCAAATAGCTCAGGGCTTTTAACAAATAACAGACCGATTGAAAAAGTGATTTCCCACTAAACGCGAAGGACTCTTATGAACTATGAAAAAATAAATAATCATAAAGAGGCAATGCGAGAGAAAGCGTATATTAAAACATCGAGAAATTGAAGCAGAATGATAACAATGACTGTAAAAATGAGGCAAAGGCGAAGAGAATAAAAGTTTTTTCTCTGGTATTGGATATGCACTGTGATGCAAGAACATATAATTTAAGATAAACGAACACACCTATCGTCGATTGAGTCTAAAAGCATTAGAAATAGTATTACTCGCAAATAATTTCTCTAATAATATATGGAACAAATGTCGAAGTTAGATGGAGCATCCAACAGATTATTTCAATTTCTTGAAAAGTGAGAATATTACGAGTTATGAACTAAAAATTTGATAAAATTATTTAAATCTAGAAATCTCATGTAGGTCGAAGAAAAACTACAAGCAATGGAGCATGGAACTATGAGCGAAATACACCAATAACGAACCCGGAATGATACCTGGCAACGCGATGTTAATCTGGCCTGACACGACGGCTCTTTTTAGCGAAAGTTTTCTGGAGTCGAATGAAGGAAGGAGTGCGAGGGAAAGTTTTAGGCGTGAGCCAACGGAGCTGCGGGATATGATCATGATCGCCGACACTGTGGGTAATGATTGCATCTCATTTGGTTAGGGCAAATTTCACTTTAAAATGCAAAAAAATTAAATTTACGGGTAAAAAATGACCATTTTTTACATTAAATCTTTCTCGACAAAATTCATAGAGAGACCCAATAATTTAATGCAATTGTGCTTCGCTAAATGTTTTACATTCAAATTTGCTTCGGTCGCTGGTGGTGAGCATCAGTGATGTTCCACTGGTGTCTTAATGTAACGCTTCAACACTTTATTGGAAATATTGATAATAAATATGTCATGGCTTCCAAAAATAGATCGTTATAATCTGAAAAGCTGATTGGCTAGAAATAGATGACTAGAGAGCATAGCATTATATAGGCAACGAAATAGGGACTTGGAATAAATAAGTGTTAGGAAAATGATTTTGGTGCACAAATTCTGTTTAAATATTAAAAAATTAGATCAGTACTCACTGCAGTGAGTGACAGAAAGCGCATTTTCTCGTCGACGCAAACGTGAAGTCACGGACAGACAGACGGACGGACGGACATGGCGAGCACAATAGCGCCTTTTTTCCATAAATGAGAACTGCGCTAAAAAGGCTTAAGATGACGAAGTTTTTTGTTTTGGCGTACATAAGCCAGCATCTGACTTGAGGGGAGGTCAGATCACCAGCGCGGGTATATAAGAGGCAGTTGAAGAGGGCGAGGAATCAGACGCCTTGTGACCACCGCAGAAGCAAGTCGGTTGTCGCAATTTCGAACAAAGTGCGTGCATGAGTTAGAATCACTAGTAGCACAGAACTTGGATCGGTTTTAGGGATAAATTCAATAATGGGCAGAACAATATCTATATAACTTTAAAAAAAGAATTCTGAAGAAAAACTTTGAGCATTTGCAACCTTCTTTTATCTATTTATTAACAACAGTTGTTCAACGTCAAAGAAGTCAGAAAAATATTTTGTTATCCACTTTTAAGGTATGTACATACATTAATTAATATATATAAATGTAAAGAACGAATTGCAACTTTCACAAATCAAGTAACTCACAACAAGAAACATCCTATGAAGTTAATTTTTAAACTGACTTATCGGAACTCATGATGGATAACTTAAATAAAAGTTACCTTGTTATAACTCTAGGTTATATATGATGAGAGAAACGACCAAATGCGAACACACGAAGACACTTGCGAACAAAGGACGACTCTTGCGAACAACCAGTAACAATAATAATTCATGGTGACTATTGCGAACAGGATTAAGCCATTGTTTACAGGCGGTAACAATTATAAACACACGAAAGTTACAAACACACAATGACAGTAAACACTGATAACGATTGATGATAAAGGTTGTGAAAACTTGTGAACGCACGCTAAAGCAAGTGAACGTGAAGTGGCACAGGCAACACTTGCCTACACACAGCAATGTGTGTGAATAGGCAGCAACAACAGTAAATACACGAAAAAAATCGTGAAAAGATATAATTCAATTTTCGCCGAAGCTTTTCTACAAAAAGTTTGCTAAAAATTACATATGTTTTTTCAATAATAAATATTAGTGATGTGATTTGTGAGAACTTCAAGTTTTTTTTATTTTTTTTTTATTCAAATGTTTATACTAGATATTGAATATTTCAACGGAGTATCGGCATTTGCCAATGTTTTTTAAAGAGTTTAGCTCTTCTAAATATGCTAAATATAAACTGATGTAACAACCTTCTTATTATTATTAATCAATTTCTGAACAATTTAGCCCAGAATTATCATATTTTTATATTTATTCGTTCCTTACATTTTTATTTAGCTTGGTATCGCACAAAAGGAAATTTGAGTATTTCGTGTTCGATCGGGATTAGATGCAGTAATACGGCAACCAAGATGTAATTTCCGGTAATTTTTTTACTTTAGTTGTGCCATCTTAAAAACTCAAAATATTAAACAAAATATCATTAAACATATTTTCGACGACGAGCAAATTTTTAAATTTTTTTGCAGATGAGCATGAATGGAAGAAGCACGTTTGTGAGCGTATTGCTGTTGTCACTTGCAGCTCAGACATGCCGTGCCGACGAGAGCTACATGCCGTCTCCTGACGCCATCTCCCCTCACAGACTTGTGAGGGAGCAATCCTCGCTTCCAAACGTTGACGATGCAGAAGAAAATGAAATAAAAGTAGAGGTAAAACTTAGACTTCATTTGTTTTTAATTTAGGTGATTAGATATAGGATTTACTGAGTTATGTTTAATATTTTACAATTCAAGAGAATCCATAGGAGCTTAATTGTTCACCCCTTCTGACTAAGTGGTTGGATTTTACAAAAGGTGTCGAGCTAGTAGTAGCGCTGGACTTCGAAATGCGTAGATGAAAAGTTAGCGTGTGTGAATACTGCAAGGAAATGAGCAAGAACGGGACGATCTATAGTCATCTGAAACGCTACGAATATTTCGTTTGCATCGTTTGCTCGAAGTGGAGCTCTAAAAAGAGCCCATTGCTAAGCAGAAGGAAAGAAGACCGCTACGATACGGGTACGACAAACGCTACGATAAATCGCTACGACAAACGCTATGATAATCGTCAAAACTATACATGCAAAGACGACAGAGGGAAAAATCCTCGGGTTTTTGTTCACAATGATTCAATGTTTTTCCAGATCGTCCTTTTTTGAAGCGCAACTTGATGAAGCAAATGCACTACCAAGTCAAATCAGACGTTCATACGAGTACTTAGATGCAGGATCTATGAAGATGTTGTTTGTCGCAGTACTGCTTCTGCACCCGGCGTATGGAAACGCGGAGTGGTCCCTGAAATTTTAAAAAGACAAAAATTTAGTGTTTAGTTGCACGTGTTTGAACAGAGTTCAAACACGTGCAACGAGAACAATACCTGACATAAAAAGCAAGTTATGAAAAAGCCCTAGTAGTTTTTGTACTTCCAAGCCGGCGTTATCGACGAATCCGCAGTGACCCCACAAAAGTATAAAAGTATTACACGTACATGGTTTTGTATAATATTTCAGCAGGATTACTATAATATCAAACAATGACAGGTAGCAGCAGCCATATTTATAAATTGGATAAACTGTGATGTAACTCAACCATGAACCAATATTTCTCCTACATTCGTGCCATCATCGTGACCAGCTCCTTGCAGACATCGATGCGATCTCGAGTATAAACGATTTGTCTAGTATAGATAACTTGACGATAGCGCCGATCATGATAAAATACTAAATAAACTTTGACACTACATGACTTTTTGTAGATTTCATACGTTGTTTTCTGGTGACTATACTCAATCACATATATGTAGATTGGACAGATAAAATATTCAAAAATTTAATCATATTTATGTCATTTGAATTAAAAATTAATTACATATAATTAAAAGTAATTTCTACACTGCAATTCTTAGTGACTCCTACCTTATAATTAACAGTAACGTATTACTTGGAATGGTTTGTTTCATGCTCATATTCGTATTAATTACATCCGATTGTTTACATAGGCATATTAGCTTCGAGTGAGTTGATTACTTGCAGCTGCTTGAATTGTAGTACCGAAAAGAAGGGTAACGGAATATAACGCGAAAATTCTAATTAAAAAAATACAGAAATTCTCCTCCTAATTCGTTTTTTGCCCAAAAATTACGTCAATTAACATGTCACCAATTTGAAAATTTTTAATTTTTCTCCCCTTCTTCCCTACAGGACAAGGAAGATGGAGAAGAAGGTCGGTGGTGCGGGACGTGTGGAGATCCTGGGACTCCAACGTTCAGCGTTGAAAAAGTCCCCTACTTCCCTTTCCTGCCCTCCCTTACGGGGCTGGGGGAAAAGTTGAGCCTACTGGGGAACTGGGCAGTGCTGGGGATTGCCATCCCCGTGTTAGTGCTGCAGATTATCACCTTGGGGCTCATCGGCTACCTTCTCAGTGAGTGGGGATTTTAAAGTGGGTTGTATATTATTAATAACTCGCTCCATTAGGAATTCTCAATAAGGTACGTAAGATGCGGCAATTACTGTACCAGAGACTGAGAGGTAATAAGCAAATGTCTAAATAACCAGCCGATATTTTTTTGGGGCAATGTGGTATCAATACCGAATAAATGCGCTAATAAAACCGATTAAACGCGCTAATAATATATAATGCACAAAGATTGGAGTGGTGAAAAACAGGCATAAATACAATGAGTCCATCGTTTGCTATAGCCAATTGTTGTCAGTGAAATATTATTGGTCAAAGTATCAAAGTAGAACGGTCGTTACGATGATCTACCTGTAATAGGCCCCGATACTTTTGTACAGAACGAAAAATAATTATTTATCAGTTACCCTACCGCTGATGGCAAGGAATTCGATAGAGCTTGATTATTGGATTATGCAAAAATGCTAATGCATAATGCAATATTATCATGGGAAATTTGAGATAATAATGTTGGAAATGATCTCGGGCTTCATAGTAGTAGTTTTCTGTTGTAAGTTAATTATTTTATTTTCTGAAACATGAGGCCAAAATATTCGAGCTTTCTCTTCTTTATTGAGTAAAAATTTAGAAGCAAAGAATAGTCCAAAAAAATTCATATCTACGTTTTCTATAGATATATCAATTTTTGTGGGCTATTCTTTGCTTTTAAATTTTTAGTTAACTTGCGATTTTAAGCAAATAAGTGACATCAATTTTTTATTGAGATGATCAAGACATACGTCATGATTTATTAATGAAACTAAGTCTACCTCGCAGAGATCGAGAAGAGTGGAGACTACGATGAGACTGGTACTGATGCGGGGTACTACACAGCCTACCCTGTACAAGGGTACAACAGTGACTCGTACAGCAGCTACAGAAGCCTTGTGCCCTCACATGGTGACCTCAACTGGGCACTGGAGAAACTGTCCAGTGCCCTGGATGTCTACAAAGAGTATTCCAACAATACAATCTGATCCTCCGTACATTTATCATTAAACTTATTAATAAATAAGTTTAAAATAAAATAAATAAGTTTAGCTAAAAATAAACTTAAAATAAAATCAATAAGTTTAGCTAAAACCTGCCGTATACCGGCAGGTTTTAGCTAAACTTGTTAGCTCATGGTGTTCTAGAACTAAACCCCGTGGCTAGTAAGCAGTATATATGTTTACGTATACTAGGAAAACTCTATGTCAACTGATATAGGATCATCACTTTCCAAGTACTAGAGGTAGTAAAGGTACTTCTCAGTTACCTTTACTCAGTATAAGATAAGAAAAGTTATTCAATGTGTACCAAAAATTGCAGCTAGTGGACCCATAGCTTTATTCAAATTAGAGCTGTGGTTTCTTTTAGAACTGTTACTGTGTGTTTATTATATTTTTTGCAATTAAGCACTTACTTACATGAGCAGCCATGCGATTAAACTAAGCAGGAATGGTTTACCTTGATCACAGTTTGCAAATGTTCTGAAGAGTTATATGCAAACAATAGGACATAATTATATTTAGAAATTAATAATCTGATTAGAAAAAAGCATGAAATTGTTTTTGACGGACATCAAAAATCATGCATGGTAGAAGTAATTTCTAGGCTAGAAATGAGTATTTATTTTAGCTCATAGGTTTTAATTATGGTATTTATTTGATTTATAGCATCATCTAATCCACACAAAATCACTCTGCTCGCACTCCAAATTAAACTTGAGATTAATAATTACTTTTATAATGATCTGGGAAAAAATTGGGATGACTTTAGGTACTTTGTTCTAAATATCCCGAGATTTGTGATGCAAAATCAAGCATGAACCTTTCTTTGTGATATTCAAAATCGTGAAGTTTTGCAAGTCAAACATTTGAATAATTACTTTTTATAGAAGAAAAAGAGGGACGAAATGCAATAAATCACCGTATTTGAAAAAAGTTCAACTGCTCCTTGATTTATTCCAAAAGAAGTTCCATTTTATGGAACCGAACGCATTTTCATGACCAGGGTTGGCACATTTTCCCATTAAATTGATCATGCGACTAACACGGAGAGGGAATTCATTAAGATACTCCAGTGTTAAAAATCCGCTGTCCAACATGATATGAGAACAAGATAGCTGACAACTGTTATGTGTTGAATCGGGTTGAATCTCAAATAATTAACGAAAAATGTTATATTCTCAACGCTTCTGATCTATTTGTGCTTTCTGAAGTTAACTTATTTTTTTCGTCAACAAATGGCGGGTTGAACATCTCAGTAAAATGAACGACTAATCGAACATTTGCATAATGTTGCATACCAAGTAGCACAAAAAAATGGGAAGTCAATATATCTGAAAACGGGAGCGCAGCCGTGCACCACCAATTTTGTGTGCTGGATTGGGGACCGGCTGCGAGTCCATCCGTAAATGGTCAGACGTGAAACAGCTACAGAAAACGATTTAGGGATAACTGCTTATTTATCTTTGGAAATTTAGTCTCTCTCATAGCAAGCAGTTAAGTGGTAAGGAAGGTAAATTTGGTATGTAAACTTTTCCATAAAGAACTATGAAGTTCAGACTGCGGACGCAAGTTTTTAAAGAAAGATTCTAAGAAACTTTGAAGCATCGCTTTGAGTACAGAAGAAAACGGACAATTTACAGGGATAACATTCTTAAATGTCTCACGAAATTTTATTCATTCATATGCAAAAGGATTTTAAGTGAAAATAACGAATGCTAGTAAGTAAGCTTTTTGAAAGCTGTAACTGGTATTAATTAATCATTTAAAAGGGTTCAGTTTTAGTATCTTGTAAGACCAGTATATATAATTTAATGTTATTAATTTCGAATATGCATTTCTAACTCAGATAAGAACTCACATGAATTAGGTACTGAAAACTGGAAATTGCGATCAGTATAAAACGATCTGCCGGGACAAATTTATTCAGTAGCAGTATTCTCAAAAGGAACTTGGACTTTGGATACTTTTCATGATAGATTTCAAGTCAAACGATTGTGTTTGTGCAATGAAACTTATATTTTGAGTAATGCTGGCAAAATATAGATGAAAAATTAATTGCAAATTTGATCAAATAATATGTACTCAATATGCTCTTCATAAGAATCAATGGGAATCTTTTGACGCTTGCAATACATAGGACCCACAAGAGAGACCAGTCTTTTGCTGGGGCGTTCCAGTTTAAATTTAAATTGTAACCATTGTTCAGTTTACAGTTCTGAAGGCATATACATTCGTTAAAAAGCTTCAAAATTGGAGTTATATTGGGACAAATATTAAAACAATAATTTGAAACGGAAGCGTCTCTAGGCTTCGAAGACCGAGTGATTTAGCCCTAGTAGATGTGATGGATGTGAGAGATCGTTTAATTTCATAAACAGCTAACAAGGTTTTTAGTTCAGTACAGCAAGCAAGTACCATATACGTTTAAAGCACGAAAAACATGTTCAGGCCAAATTAGATTCAATTCGTGGGATTTGTAACGAATATAGGAATATATTAATATATTTAATAAATGCACTTTAATTTATTTAGGCAACTGAAGAATATGTTTGTGGGCTGCAACCCCCAAAAATGGGCTTAATGAAACCACTGATTTGTAGCAAAAAATTTCACTAAACTCCAAGTAAAAAAAACAGAACCGAGAATTTAAAAGGAATTCACAAGCCGTATCAAATCTCAAACAATCAACCAAATATCTCAAGCCGTCCTAATTCTCGGCCAGAAAAGATCTTCTCATCATCCAGTAATGATATAAAAGTACGCATTTCTTGTGAAGAAGCGCCTCTTTTGACTGGAGAAAGCAGCGTGGGTGTGACTTCATATCCTTGAACGACCCTCGACTCAAATTGACGCTGCGGCCTGCGCCTCGAATTAGCAAAAACTGCACGTCCTACAACGTGGCTTGAATAGGGAAGCAATACACGAAGAAATTTAAGTATATAGTTTCGCTATGGTAGAAGTCTTTTACATAATTGTGAATAAATATATTAAACATTACTTACTTTTTATATAATATGAGACAACAAACGATGGCCGTCTAAATGCCAGACTCGAAAATCTGTCTAAACTCGAAAATCAAGAAATCTAATTGTTAGCAAAGCGCGAATAATTACAGCAAATCGGATGCTTCATTGTGATGGAAATAAAATAATCATGTTCCAACTGGAGCGTAAAGAATGTATTAACCACCTTGAAATGACATTTATACAGAATAGAAAAGATTCAAACCGTTATCTGATCGCCGCTATATGGATACATGCTGGCCGCAATTGAAAGGTTTGTTTGCATTTTTTGTACCTTCTCAATGCTTGCGCGTAGAAAATGCAAGAAGCTGTGTAATTAAAATTAGGCTAATATGCGAGACGTAGTAAAATTTACACCACAATAAAATGCGAACCAAAATCAAATTGAATCAGCGCTAATGTCCATGTCCACTGCACCACCCAACATCCGCCACACAACGACCATATTCACCACTGCCACAGATGTATGTAGGTTAATGGTAGCATCATCACCTACGCTGCCGGCACGCGGCATGCGAAGCACCTTTACATCAAGCGTCGATGGCAATAACAAGTAGCTTCTTACGTTAACAATGACAACAAAACGGCCAAATAAATATTGCACGCAAGTCTCTGAAGTTTCTCTTTACTGCCAAGTCTCTTTTACTGATTATAGGGAAAGTTGAAAGTGGAGAAAGTGCCCAATCAATGCATTGAATTTTCAGCGAAAAATAGGGCATGCAGAGAAAAGTTTGAATACATTTAGGAATGTCTTCATATTTATGAATGTAAAAGATATAAGTACTAACCATAACGATAAACAGAGAAAAGTAGATTACCAAAATAAATCTTTTAAATTATCCGATTTCCATTTATCAGTTCCCTCTTCATTCCTGAGACAAAAAAAAAAAGAAAACTAAGATCCGTTGAAAGATACACAATACGAGGGTGCTTCAAAAAGTTCGTTGAAAAACATCAGTTTGAAAAAATATCAAAGTCACAAGGCTTATTTCGTACATATACTCCATCTAGGTCAATACATTTCTGTGAACTCTGATACCAGCCCATAAGTCCATCTGTTTAGAAATGAGTCATGCGATTTGAACAATATTTTGGCAGCTCATTTTGCTGCCTCAATTGATTGAAACTGGGTGAATTTCAACGATTTTTTTCCCAGTTGGGAAATATGAAGAAGTCGGATGAGGCAAACTCGGTCCTATGAGGTGGATGCCGAATGATTTTCCATCGAAATTCGCGAAGCACAGCTCCTGTCTGCCAAGCGCTATTTTCGTGGTGGAAGAGTGCACCCCGATGCGGCTTCCCAAAGCGCTTTTCGGCGATTTTCCCGGAAAATTTCATCTAAACTTCTTCATAGTAAACAGCTGTAACATTTTTCTTGCTCTCGAAGAAATCAACTAACAAGATCCCCTCTGCATCCCAGAAAACCTTCCCTCTTGAAAGCTCAGATTTTTATTTAAAAATCTGACCCTCACTTTCTCCCTGAGCAGCCCCTGCTTCGATTGAGTTTTGTACTCGAGATTGTGCTGGTAGAGCCATGTTTCATCCACGGTCTCAACACGCGTAAGAAAAAGTTCAGGGTTCTTATCCAACTTATTCAAAATTTCCTTAGAGGGATCGGCCCTTGATTCCTGCTGATCTAGGCGCAACAGCCTGGGAACCACTAACGGTGTTAACTTTTTCGTAAATTACAGTTTGTAACGCATCAGATCCACATTGTCCTGGGGTATTATCAAAACCTGTATTAGGGACTGAGGGCTTGCTCAGTCCCGAACTGCCCATCAGAATTGTGTATGTGAAACTCGCGGTGATGTTGAATTTCTCTGCTACTGATTCGGTCGTTATTTGCCTATCTTTCTATGAGATCAAAATTGCATCAATGTTTTCCCAACAAACTGATGTGCGTAGCCTGACTCTGCAGGGGTCATCTTTGGTCTCATTTCTTTTGATTCAGGAATGACTAATCCATTTGCAGGTTGCTGATTTTTTTCGAGGCACTAACGGTCTCCATAAACGTATTCCAGGGAGTTAATGATTTGGCTGTTCTTCCACCCAAGCTTCACCATGAATTTTATTTTGGACCTGTACTTAATTTTGGCAGATGCCATGTTGCATGAACGGTTGTTGCTTTTAAAACAGCGTCCCGTGCTTGTAACATTAATTTAAGGGTTCACGTGCATGAGAAGACGTTAAAAATCATTGATACAGGATCGCTATACTGTATTGGCATCCTATTATTTTCATAAAATTTTTAGTCATGTCCATTTTCCACGAACTTTTCAAAGCTCCATCGTAATAGATCATCAGGGATGTCACAGAACCACGTAATTGTTTCCCGAGCATCATGAATGCTGCTACTGCGTATCATCGGCGACTTTACTGAGTTGTAATACATTGTACGAAAAATCGCACTAAAACTGTCTAACCAGCATTTAGTTGCCTGCCGGCACGGAAAAAACACCGTGTTGCCGTTTTTCAAATTTTACACAATAAATCAGGGCCACATTAAAACACGGCGAAACAGTTTATTTTCACAGCGCGAATAGCCACCAAAACGCCTGTCACACCGTTTTTTCTCGTATTTTCGAACAGTATAGTTGGCACCGATGAAGTGTACAGTTCATTTCGCACATTAAATAAATAATGTGCGTTACAGACTTAGATAATATACATGCCAACTAACCATCAAAGAGTCCCCGATTTCTTTTAGGGTTACAGTAAAGCTTTCGCTAGAATCTCATTGATTGCGACTTTCGCTTCGTAAGCGACGGAAAGATAACTGATTATGTAGAAAATATCTCGTCATCGGCATACCGCGCACGTAACATATCGCAATTACCCATCGACGGTAACCTCGAATACTTAATATTGGAAACCCCAACCAGTCCAGTTAATGCATAAAACTGGATACTAAGAAAGTATTATGTTATTGATTGAATGGATATAAATGATTAGCAAGCATTTAATTGAGTATTACAATAGAAACTCAATCTCAGATAATTTTTTAGGACAAAGTAAACATTTAACAAGAAATGTGAGAATGCGGAGAGATCCAGAAAGTCATCCAGAAAGTCAGTCAGTTGAACAGCTTCCGATTTATACAACATACTATATAAAAATAAAAATAAAATTTTGTCAGATAGTTTAATATACTCTTACTCATATTAATATCGGTAAAATGATCATATATAAAATTTTCAATCTTTTCAACAAAATATAATGAATGGTGCCCTGTAATTTGAGTAAATTGTCCTTATACTCATGATTTTTAGGTTAGGAATATACCACCAGCAACTATAAACTAATTCTTCCGTGTTTAACATATTAAACACGCTTCTGAACATTTTCAACATGCTTCTAAACATATTATACACGCTAAATTGATCTTAGTCGCACCGACCGTATTTAGTTTTTTCTAAATTACTGTGTGAAACGTATCAAATTCACATTGCCCAGGGACCGTATTATCAAAACCCGCGTACGGCTGATTTATAGCTCTTCATTGGTGGGTTTAGCTTGAAAAGCCGTCATTGATTGGCTGAAAGAGTTCCAAACTCTAAGCTATTTTACAACACTTCTTTGACAATACGGGTCTAGAACCGCTAAGTTTAATTATTTGTTATTTTATTATTATTATTATATGTAATTATTTTCGTTTTGATAGTGAAAATAAGTCATGGTACCAAAACAGTTACTTCAGCTCACTCAACGAGTAACGCTTGAATGCTCAGAGCTTCAAGGAATTTTGTTAGCAGGAGTGGATTATAGCAATTAATTCAGACCCTGTAAAGGGAGTCCTTAAAAACCGTTCGCCGAATGAACTTGAAACCTAAACCATAACTTTTCACCTGTTAACAATAGCCACTGCATGTTCAGCATCCAGGTGCCAGCATTAGGTGCTGACCAGTAGCAGGTGCCAGCACTAGGTGCTGACCAGTAGCAGGTGCCAGCACTAGGTGCTGACCAGTAGCAGGTGCCAGCACTAGGTGCTGACCAGTGGCAGGTGCCAGCACTAGGTGCTGCCCAGTAGCAGGTGCCAGCACTGGCTGTTAACATTCTGCATTGACCAACACTCGCCTGCAGTGGCCCGATGGTCAGCATCTCCGTCGTGCTGCGTATCGGCGGCAGGTCACCGGCGCGGGTATATAAGGGGCAGCGGGGGAGGGAAAGTTGACAGACGCGTTGTGAGGGCGGTAGGCGTAGGTCGTGATACGCTGTAGCATGGGCACTACGAGCTTGATTTTATGTTACAATCAATGAATTAATTGAACGTATATTCGCTGGTGAGCAGAAAATAATCCATTGAAGAGGACAAAGAACACTCAACATGGTAGGTTTGCATCCTATTTATACTTTTACTAGTCTCTACATCTTTTCCGAGTCACTGTAGCAAAGTTGCGATTTCTCTCATTAACACTAAAAGTATCAATAAAGTAAAAATAGGCAAATCAATTTTATAAAGTGTTCACAGTATTTGCGTATATAACGTCCTTGAATGCAAAATGAATTGACACAAATTTAAACTTCGCAGCAATACAATAAAGCTCAAAGCTTGAACTCATAACATTCCTCTGAACTCGTACATTTAACTAATTATTTTAGAATGCAAATTTTCAGGAAAGACTCGGCAAGCGTGAAGTAATCCAACTCGCACGCAAAACAACGATCGTTCACTGCCTGCTATATATGCACACAAACGACAACGCACACACATGCGTAAATTTTTGTGTAAATACTGAAGTATAATTTGTAAATACATTTACACAGTATATACGAATGTGCAACACATTTGCACATACGCAAATACTTATAAACACAACGCTTTACTCCAGACCATTACATTTGTACTCAATCTGGTGCCCTTGATGCGTCTTGTAAAGTGAAAAATAGTTGTACTTAATAGTAAATATCTATATTGAAACCAATACAAAAAAAAACAATAATGTTTTATGTTAGATAATGGTTTATATCTTTTTTAACAGTTTTGAAGATTTTGAGAGCGGTTGTCATACTCAAATCGTTCAAAATAATAGCATCATATTTGTTTATTGAATAAGTTTACTCGATTTTAATGATCATGTACGTTTTTTAAATCGTTTTATTAATTGATTTAGAGCAATTTTGCAATAATTTTAAAATACTAATTTTTAAGATCCAAGTAAATTATACCTGACAATAATTGCTCATGTTGATCGTAATTGAAATACAAATTCCTCTCTATAAATCGTTTAGTTAATACTTTGCCACATTCAAAATATCGATATTTGCTAAAATGAAATTTAATCTTTTCCTTCAATTGTTACAAAAATATTGACATTATCTCGGAAAATTAATATATAATAATTATGAACTAAATTCCTAAACCTATATCATATATATAGAATTATCACTATCATGTTTTTAGTTAAAAATTGATGTTATTTCTTTACAGATAAGCATGAATACAATGAGCGTGATGATCAGTATATTACTGCTATCACTGGCCCTTCACGCTTGCCATGCAGAAAATAACAGCACTAACACAACTGACGTCATCTCGAATCGCGCTGATGGTGTGGTCAGAGAGCAGATCTTACCTTTGGCAATTCCACCACTGGATTTAAATAAACTTCAACAGGTAAAATAAAAATTTTTAGTTTTATTTTTTAACGCTGCTGATTGGCAATCCCACCACTGGATTTAAATAAACTTCAGCAGGTAAAATAAAATTTTTTTTATTTTTATTTTTTTAACGCTGCTGATTGGCAATCCCACCACTGGATTTAAATAAACTTCAACAGGTAAAATAAAAGTTCTCATTTCATACGCCGCGCATAAAAAAAATTGAAATTGAAATAATTTACTTCAAATGGTATAAGCGATTGAAGAATTTCTAGTAGCCCTTCCTGATTTTAAATCAAGTTGCACACGTAATGCAGAAATTATTTTCATTTGATGCTATTCTTAATAAAGATATAATCTGCTACGCAATTAAAATTCCAACTGAACAACTACATTATATGATGCCATTCTTTATCTACTGCACTGCTAATCAGCAAGAATTTAAATCAACTAAAAACGAATTTGATGTTAATAAAAATAAACATTGATAATAACCGATTAATGCAGTGAAAGGTAATAATTTAGTATAATAATATAAGTTATTATATTACATTATTATTATTATATACTATATTATATTATAAAATAATATTAATAATATAATATATAATTATATTATATTATTGATAATTGTTATATAATTAATTAATAATTTAATTTTCTTGTCCCTGTCCTGCAGGCAGCCAACACTGCAGGGGGACTAGGCTGGATATTATGCCCAGCCATCCAGGGGCTGCTGGACGCGTTCGACAAGTTTAAAGACAAGGCAGTGCTGGGTGTTGTGATCGCCATACTCGTGCTCGAGATTATTGCTGTGGCGCTCGTCGGCTACTTGATCAGTGAGTGGAAATCTTCAGAGAAACTCAATTGTAAATGTATTTAATCATCAATAATGGTACAGAGAAACTAAATTTTAAGATATTTAATCATCAATAATGGAACAGAGAAACTCAATTTTAATGTATTTAGCCTTCAATTATGATATTCGATCAATTTTAATGTATTTAGCCTTCAATTATGATATTCGATCAATTTTAATGTATTTAGCCTTCAATTATGATATTCGATGCATGTTCATTGAATAGCATTATAGATGATGCACAATGCTGATGTACAGTGTCATTACTCTACCCGAGGCTAGAATGTTGTATTCAAGTGTCTGAAAGCAGAGTATAAGTGTATCTCGGAAGCATAGAATCATTTTGTACGTTCTAATTGGCAAGTAAAACAACCGCAACGTTACCCACCTGTCACTACCATATCAATAACAGACCTCGGCACAACCATTACTATTTAGTACATGTAACAGTTGACTTACGTACGGTTGATTTAACAGTAAATTCATCAGTACGTTCAAATGCCAGTGCAAGAAAAAAATTAAACCATAAGTATTGAATGTGATGAAAGTCGTGTGCAGCTTTTATGATCAAATTTCCAGTTAATAGATCTCTCAAAATACGTAGTGCTGATTTTCGTTATAGTTAAATTACTTACATATTTCTTGGTAGTTTTTAATACCTATTCATGTTTCTTTTATATAAAAAATTTATACCAATAATTCACTGTGTGGTCTTCCAATGTCCCGTACAGTTAACAGCAAAAACAGCGCCGAAACGACACCAGAGTTCTACGCCGCCATCCCGGTACCCGGAGCTGGACTCGGTGCACAGCGCCGTAGATATGATCCCCACGCACCCTCAGAACTTTCCATGGATAAGGCCATGGAAAACTTATCTAAAGCACGTGATGCATACACGTAGTAGGGCAGAGGAAAAATGATTGAAATCCTTGAGTTATGTGGTATTTGGTGTTGAATCGTGAAAGTTATGTAAGTATTTAGATCGTATTTATTATAGAATAGGTCAATATCGGTGTTTTAAAGTTTAAACCCACTTGTATAAAAGACATAATAGCAGAGCGTATGATAGCACTTATTAAATACTGATGAAACGAGAATGTCTATACTGTTTAGCTTGAACAACTCAATTGCTCATGTTCTCGTCATTTAAAAAAAAATAATCAATTAAAAGCACCAATTAACTCGTTCCGTTCTGCCAACGAAATCGATTAGCGGGAAACAAATTTTCTTGCAAATTTATGATGTATAACATGTACGCGACGATAAAGCAGCATAGAAACGCATTATTTGTGCAGCTACGGACTGTTTCTAACCGCCAAGCCCACATGCCTGCATTTATTAGATTCAAATACGACTTTTCTTCATTAATTGAAGGATATAATTTCATCTTCAGTCCTAAGTACAACACGCTTCCAATCCGGTGATGTCTGGCCTTGCGTAATACAGCGAGAAGAAAGGAACGTAACCAGCCATCGGATATGGACAGACATCATAAATTGAGAAATCAGGCTGAACGACATCCTCTTCACCAAAAAGTTTCAATTTCTGACGACTTACCTGCATCGTTTCTACTGACGCTTCAAATGCTGACAGCAGACTGACCTGGACCATTTTTCTGAAGCGTCAACTGCTGAAATCTGGCTAATCTAAACCATTTTACTAAAGCTTCAACTGCTAACGACTGACTGACCAGAACCAATTTGCTGAAGCTTCAACTGCTGACGACTGACTGAGCAGAACCATTTTACTGAAGCTTCAACTACTGACCTCTGACTGACATGGATCATTTTACTCATGCTTCAAGGACTGATATTTGACTGACCTGGACCATTTTACTTAAGCTCCAACTGCTGACGTCTGACTGACACACTTCATTTTAACAGGATTTGAACATGATGTCTTTTGACTGAACTGTCACTCAGGGCTTTAAAACAATTCCAATAAAACCGAAATTTAGATACTGTGGCCAGCCGTGATGTTATGCCGTGTTGATTAACTAGAGCTGTAGCACTGTGTGATTTATAACTGTTACTCAATATGTATTAGAACTAACATGATATGTGTTTTTAAAACGTTGCCTTGTGGGTAATAGAAAATCATGATGTACTAAAGTTGTTGGTATATGTGTAATAGAACTTCTACTGTGGTTGTACTAGAATTGTACAACCACAGTTAATAGGAATGCGACTGTGGTTGTTCTAGAGTTTTTGCTATATGTATAATAGGAATGTTACTCCGTTTGGCTAGAATAATTGTTGCTATGTGCGTAATAGGAATGCGATTGTGGTTGTTCTAGAATTTTTGCAATATGTATCATAAGAATGTTACTCCGTTTGACTAGAATTGTTGGTATATGTGTAATAGGAATTTACAACGTTTGTAATAGTATTAATGCTTATTGTGCAAAAGAACTGATATTATAGGAGTACCAGAAGTGCCGCGATGAGTATGAGTTTATTGTGGTAGTACCAAAACCGTAACTACCACGCAGTAAACCAAGCGTAAATGGTAGCTACGTCAGTAATAGTTTCCAATGGTTGCAAACAGTTATTTACATTGTATAGAACATAGGATTAATCTAGGCAATCGCAGGTAAGGTAAAAAATGAATATTTATTGAAAGTCGTGATTTTTATTCATGTGAGTTGGTTTATGAATATCATGAATTAAGTTCATGATTTCTGTTAGATGAGAGTTTTTCCATCCGCTACAATTTTCATACAGTTTTTCGCTAGGAAACATGAAACAAGTTTCTGTCTGACTTAATTAAGAAGCATGCCGATTTCGAAAAAATTCCTCATGATCGAGGTAGACAAAAAAAATATTTTTGGTTCACTGTCAGATCGTAATTTTGTGAACAGTTCTTTTTCATAATAAGTGTTTTTTCCTAATCATTGTTTTGGCACTTCATGATTTAAACGTGGTTTTACCGCAACCAGCTAGCTACATTCTTTGGACTGATGACTTTGCTAAGCATCATAAACAATATTACATTTTTCAGCCGGGGAATACGGCACCGACTTCGACCAGAAGTTGATATGTTGGCCGACGTATGAGTTTCGATCTTTTCTTCTCTGTAGCTGGTAATTAAGTTAATTTTATGTGTGGAGCAAGCGTTTTTCTAACGGTAGTTCAATAGAAATGTGGTACATCGTACTTTCAAATTACCAATCAATACTTTCAAATGACTGAAATACCGGTCTTACTGTCTGGAGTTTTTCGAACTGTATAGACTATTTACTTCGATAATAATTTGTTGATGCCATTGGATGTTCTCCCATGCGATGTCATATCAATCAAGCAAAAATCATTGTTCATGAAAGAAGGTCATAAAAGTAATGCAAAATTTTGATGGCAGGCCTGTCATGCACATTGGACGTTAAGTTCACCGATCAAATTTGATTCTTCACTTAGCTGAATGCTGTCACAAACATGATAAAACTTTAGAAAAATAATACTAAGCATATGACTTTGATGTAGAGCCAAAAGCAATGATGAAAATTTACCGAAATTTAACACAGAAAAATTCGATTGAAATTGGATTGAAAAATTAAAGTCCAATTTCGCCTTAAAAATTTATAGTTTTTTGTCTGCATCTAAAGCGTCTATTTCGTCTGCAAAAAGGAGCGCCGCTAGTAGGCGATAAGTGGACGAGTTAGCATTTCTGGTGATTGCCTTTCGTTTGCCGTGTCGCTGTAGTCGATCAGATGGAGAATATCGAGATGCATTACCTCTGTGGTTTGTCTTCTTACCTGCTCGCATCTTCTATTTCAAGCGAATCGATCAATTGTGCTATTGAATTATTTTGAGAGCGTGAAGTGAGATGTTCGTTCCCATTCGTGGGTAAATTTTCACTATCGCTCAATGGACTTTGGCGAGAAAGAAAAGGTTCGTCGAGTAATGAATCTGTTTCGTGATTGAATTCTTTTGTAGTATAAGACCTCTTATGTATTTCATCGATGAGTGGGAAAATAGGAGTAGTCGTGAAGAAACTCGTGTCCTCACCTCTTCCTCCCCTGAGTGCGTCAAAGGGAATATCTTGCATTCCGCCACCAAAAGGCCACTGAAGTAATGGTGGAATTAACGTATTCGTTTCTCCGTTCCTCTCCCTAGTAACCGATGCCTGCATGGGCTCATCGGGAAACCTTAATCTCGGTCTAGGTTTGTGATTAGTTGTACCAAAACGGGGTCCAACCAGCAAGTCCGGGACGACATTGTGGGAGCTGAAGCCATTGTTGTACGAACCTAACCAAGGTCCTGTGAATAATTGAGAATTTTCATTCCTCAGTCCATTGGCGTATGAACCGAACTTCGATTCGTCAGACGGTGGCGAAGCGATTGAACTCAAATCATTTAGGTGAGAACCTAATCCCAATTCATCAAAGTACGACTGAAAAGCATTGAAATTTAAACCATTTAGTTGTAATCCTGGACCAAAATTGGGCAAAGGCCCTGAAAAGTGAGGAAAACTCGATTCCTCGGAAGGCAAAGGTGCGGGTTTGTGCTGTAAAATTGGTCTTGCAGCTGTTGACTCATGGATCAAGTGTTGTTGTTCCTGTCGCCGGAGTTGTTGCTGTTGTTGCAGCAGAATTCTCTGCAGTAATTGTTGCTGCAGGATTCTCTGTTGCTGTATTATCCAGCCCACAAGCAGAGGCTGTAAGATGTTCAAGATAACTCCTGACAGCAGAGATCTAGATCTTCCTCCTCGTTCGTGCACCAGTAGCTGCTCAGGCACGGCCAACCGGGCGGAGCGGACCGATGCATTTTTGAAGTTACTTTCTTCGAGTGGAGATTGTGATGAAAGTTCCGGTGTTGCAGGAGAATCATTTGCGTGCTCATTGCTTGTATTTTCACTCTGCAAAACATGCAGAAATGTATCATCAATATTATAAATTATACAGTGAGTTTTGAAAAAATCGAAGGTTTCGCCTGACAACAATAATTTAAAAAAAAAACATGAAACAAAATGCGTAAAAAAGTAATAAAATTGTGCTGCAGAGGCTTGAGAATTAAAATTGTATGATGCACGCACTTCCATTATAGGACTCAGCCATGTTCAATGGCCGTGTTATAAAACTTGAGACCAGCCAACCATATTCTTAAGAGTGCAATCTATCAGCTATTGGGCTGTATTCAATACATTAAGTAAGAGAGTGGTCACTTTATTACGTAAGAGAGTGGTCAGTTTAAGTGACAGTAAGTCACTAGGGAATAAATTGACGATTGCACCACAACTTTCATACGCAATTTCTAGTGAAAAGTTTTAATATATTAATGTCAACGAATACGCATATATATGCAATATTGTGGGGGTACATGGGAATTATATCACTGCCTCACCTTCACTGCTGCGGTGAATAACAAAATGAAGAAAATAATTTTCATTTTCGGTGACATTCTGCGGTGGATGTTTCCAATATTCTAACTTGAATAGCGTAATAAGTGCGTGAGGTCTAATTTCCTGGGAGTTTTCTCTTAATTTTTTTTTCTCTCAATCTCGAATAAATGCTTCAGCAGGCATTGACGATTTCGAAAATTTATTTTTTGTTGAAAATTTTAAGCTTTTTATGAGAAAATACACACTTCCAAAACTAATGAAATAAAAATTAATGACAGTTTTGTCAGATGTTCTTATATAAAAATTTAATTTTTCTATTTTCATTTAATTTCTTTTTCCATGAAATTGGCCATCTCCTTCTATAGGTTAATCTGCATAATTTTTTTCATTTCGAAGAGGGAGAATATATTCGTCTACAAGATGAATAACCTTCCAGGATCGTTACTGAATTGCTCTTCTCGATGTGTCTCAGCTGTGTATGAACCAAATGCATGCTTTTCTCAGTTATATACTTCACATAAATCAGATAAAGCATCTTATATAAGTAATTTATGGAAACAATTGAATTATTCTTGCATTGAATGTGGCCAGGAGCTGTGAAGGTCTCTGCTCACAACAGAGACAGATGGTATCAGGCCCGGCCTTGCGCTCATCTAGCGGTGGTCATGGTCTCTGAACTCATTTGATAATTACTCTGTACATTCATTCAGTCAAGTATTCACGCTATTCAGAATAAACTATATTCATAAATGTTTCCCGTGTAGAAGCAGCTTTGCGTAAACTTTACTTCCTGAATGTTGTTGAATTTCGCATGGCTGTTCTAATATTCTTTAATAACGTTGTTTAAAATATGTACCCCAAATTTTACGGGTTCACAATTTAAAGTTACAGGGAACTCAAAATATTTACAAATGTCAGGTGTCAAAGACTGCGACACGTAGAAGTTTATTCTAATGACTAATATTTGTAGGGAAAATATTTTATCAGCAACTAATAGTTTACTGTTCATGCCATGACGATACAGAGAATGTGCTGTTTGCAGCCGAACTTTAATTATACTTTTGTCGAAAAATTTTGAGAAAACCAACGAAAAATTCATCAATGCTTTATTTACAGTGACTCATGCTATCTGTAAGTCACTTTATCCCTCCAATTTTGAACGTAATAAATTTATAAAAGCCAAACCTCAGTTTGCGACAGTACGCGAAGAAACGTCGAGAATCATGGATCCAATTTACAAATAAAAATAATAGAATGAGTCTGAAAAAATATAAGTTGCTAGTTTTTAAACGCTGTGGAGATGCCACGGAGCCAACATGATTTATTATTTGAATAAGGATTTTTGTCAAAAAAGCAGTCAAGATAAAAAAAACTCGGGCTTAGTTTGAAAAAAAAATGCAGAAGCAAAAAGTTTACACTTCAGAATTTTACCACAGTATTCAATACAAAAATATAATGGTTTCCCAGCCAATATGATCAAAAAGTAAAAGAATCGAAAGACTTTCAAACATTGAGAAAATAAAAAATTAATCGTAAGATATGGCGTGTAGTTGAGGCAGTAAACTATTTAGCGTTACTAAGTCTACGAACATGTATTATGTCGATACAAAATAACAACGATCTCATTAACCACAAGTATAGCCTCTTAACGCAGCACCAAATACAACGGCGGTTCGTGCGGCTCCAGCAAATGTTATCCTTCCTATCCTTCCTTATCTGATTTTCCGACATTATCACTCAGAAAAAATCGTGGCGGTATAACATAACATAACATAGTGATGTCGGCGCTGAAGTGTAGGCCTGATGTGGCCTTTCGCCATTCTTTTCCTTTTCGTCTCACTTGACTAAATTCTGAGTTCGACAAAAAACAAAGTGATTTCGTAAACCTTATATAATTTTTATTTATTAATCGTCTTCGGAATAAGTTTTTGATCGGACGAATTGAATATTTCCACACTGTAGAGAATTCGCGGAAAGTTGGTCTCGGATGTTAAATGAGATTCAGATGTAAAGTGACTTGCAGGTGCCATGCGAATCACTGAAGTAAAGTGAGTCATGGATATTAAGTGAGTCACTGGAAGGAATTGCGAGTCTGAAATACCAACAGAAACGAGGAGCATTTTACGGAGCCCTATAGCTCAAGCTAGTGTCCATGAGCAATGTTCTCTGATTCACAGTAATTCCCCATATTGCAAGGTTAGCCAATGTGCGAAGCCTAAGTTCATTATTCAAGCTTCATTATTTGACATATTAAATTTTTTCAATAATTTGTTTTTGTCGATCTTTCTATTCTGTCCGGCTAGAAAAAGCGATTCTGCGGCGATCACCACCCTATTACAACTTGAAAAATATCATTTAATACCGCTGACACCAAATTTTGTAGAGATAATCCCGATTTTCCTACGTTAGAATTGACACTGCGTTGCTAGTACATTAATCACGTTCAATTAATCACAATATTGGCATATATACTGGATTTCAAGACGTCGTGTTTTAATCCCTCACACAAATTATATAGTTGGGTTTGGCTTACTGATGAAGTTACAGCGTCTGTGCGGCAAAAATTTGTACAAGTCAACGCATCCGAGAAACTTGAGAAATATTGTGACAGCAGAAAGATTCTGGATGACCAGCTCTGGATGATAGAACTATCTAGACCAAAATTTCAAGTTATGGTAACTCTAAATTAAGGAGCCAATTTCCTAATTAAAAAATTGATATAATTGTGATTTAAGTCGCACAAACCGCCTTCCAGCCTCTTTAAAGTCCACCAATTCTTACGTCTAAATGCCGACTGAGGGAAAGCGTTTCTTGCAGTTTATCATTTCACAAATTTAAGCTAATAAATGCCAATAGAATTATTAATGTATTTTTATAGCGTTATTAAAAGCAAGCCCCCTCCGAGAAGGCGCAAACGCATAAAAAATCAATTATTGTGAAAATTAGAGCCAAAAATGTCAATTAAATTGATCGTATTATTAATGAGAACGGTTTCTGTAGGCCAGAGTTATCGTTAGTTCAAAAATCGATATTACGGGCATACATATATCACAATATGGCGAATTTTCTCAGTACTTTCTCTACTATTGAATTTTTGCACAATTGACGATTCAAGCGATAAATTAATCTTGAAATATGAGTTTGAGTTATCCTCCCATATACAGTACATAACACCGTACAACTCAGTCGTATGACACTATGCAGAAAATTCAACAAAAGTATGTATAGTAAATCTAAGCATAATAGACAACAAATATGTACAAATATTACGATGCTCCGACCACGGCCACGCCGCCAGAAAATAATCCCAAATGCGAGGAATCGAACTATGGCCGCTTGGGTGACGGTCAGGTATTCCACTAACTAAACCACAAAAGGATGGAAAAATTATTTCCATCACCTGCCGTGACCAGGATTCGAACCTGGGTTATTGCGGCCACAACGCAATGTACTAACCACTATACGATCACGGCTCTGACGTGTGTGACGACTCAGCCCTTGTAAGTAATTGTAATTAGTTTGGTCAAAATTGTCGGCTAAACATAATTGCTTATCGTTTTTAGTTGAGTGTCCATGACTGATATTTAATTCATGTTCTTTTCCTAGAACAAAAGTGACAATTTTGTATTAACAGCGGGATGTTATTTTATTGAAAATGTAAAACAATCTATCTAATTGGAATTATGAGAATTGCATATCTATTTGAAAAATATTCATTATTTTCATGAATTGAACACATCCAACGAGGCAGAGGCGAACTATCAAATTCAAATAATTTAGGAGAAAATTCGAGAAAGAAAGAGATCATACTGAAAATATTAGCGTTCAGCCTTTGAATTTTTGTACATTGTTACAGAATCCGTCAACATTTTCCAGATTGCCTAAAACAGCGATGCCTTCACAAACTTAAAACAAGAAAAATAACTTTTCTTGCGTTAAAACGACTCAAGCCCGTATAAATTTGAATCCCGGCAGGATTCAAACCGATAAAAATATAAGCACACGTCACATGACGATGTAGTCCTTGTAGTTCTTGATGGCCTTAAGCACACGTCACATGACGATGTAGTCCTTGTAATTCTTGATGGCTTTAAGCACACGTCACATGACGATGTAGTCCTTGTAGTTCTTGATGGCCTTAAGCTGCTTCTTCAGCGCCCTGACGAGGTCCAGCGGCTGGACGAGGATCGAGATGTCGCGGCCGACGGCGTTGAGGCGGTCATGGATCTCTGAATGCTGAGGAAGATTACAAGTAATTGTAAATATGTAGAAATATAATATATGAATCACGATAATGTTAATGTTGAAGTCCCGATCATACTGCGCGATATTATTTGCCATGTTAATGTTATCCTAATGATTTCTAATTTAATTATTCAATTTCTTCGATGAAAAACAATATAACTTCAACAAATTTATTGTGTATAATTCGAAAAAGTACTGCAGAGTCGATGATCTAAATTAGTTCGTCGTGGCTAACAAGGTTTTACCTATTTTGACGAAGTCGATGCTCATGTTTAGTGTTAAATTTAAGTAAATTTCTGTCACTTGAAGTTATTTAAGCTGAATTAAAAAGAGATTGAGGAATCCGTTCTACTTACAGCGGTGCATGCAAAATTCAATCGATTTTCAAAGGCTCCTATACTCAGTGTTTTGGATAATCCAAGGCGCCAATGTCTAATAAATAAAGCTGAGAAATGAAAAAATTTTTTACCTTAAAGAACAGGTTGAGAGGTCGATGGTTGATCTCGGTGAGGACCCAGGAAGTTAGTCCAGTGCCGTCCACCGTGGTGGCTTTCAGTGACAACCCTTCAGAGGCCGCCAGCCCACCCGGCACCACCTGTAGTGCCACCAGGTAACAAACAACTTGTAATACTTATAATATGTTAGGGTTTGCAATACGGATTACATTCGAAATTATTTAGCGTTCAAAAATCTCAACAGCCGGTTCGAAATTTACCGATTAATATAGTGATACAATTTATTTCTACAGCCTCGTTGCAGTCACACGCGGTAAGGCTTCCTCTCCAATATCTACCTCCACTGTATTGCACATCTCAGTATCTCTCTCTGATCCCCTCTCTTTGATCATCTCCTCATGATACCCACCTCTCTAATCTCCGCCGTGTTGCCCACCTCAACATTCCCCTCTCTCTGATCCCCTCTTATTGACCATCCCCTCACGATGCCCACCTCTCTAATCTCCGCCGTGTTGCACACCTCAGCATGCCCCTCTCTCTGATACCCTCTCTTTGACCATCCCCTCACGATGCCCACCTCTCTTATCTCCGCCGTGTTGCCTTCCCTCAGGATGCCCAAGGGCTGTCCTTCCTCTTCCCTCTTCAGGGCGAAGACTTTGCCGTAAGGGATGCGGCGAACTACGAACTCCAGCTGCGTTGTCGCCGGCAAAAAATCAAGCAATTCATCACAAATAATATCCACTAATAACAATGTATATTTAAAAATCTTTCTAATATTAACTAGAAAACCGGTTAGCGATCTAATGGATTAATGTAGCGAATGATCGTTGTGTGAATGTATTCATAACCCGAAAAATCTTTGTTATATACATGGCCAACGAATTCATTATAGATGAATGCGACAACACAGAAGATGAATAAATCTATCTGTGAATTTACGTTAATGAAGAAAACGCTGATTCGTAAATGCGTAAAATGTATTGAAATTCCTAGGGTAAAATTTAAAGTAGTCACGGAAGTTTGCTATTTAACTGTCCAGGAATCCCTAGCATATTGTTCATGTTACAATCTCCTTTTGAAGTATTAAAGAAATTTAATTAATAACTACATGAAATCAATTAGGTAAAAATTTGACTCATAATTAAGCATTGATGTGGTGTCTTGTAAGGCGTGGTAAGACTACCGCTCGATTCTAGATTACTTTAAAAAAACAATCTCAAGAAAATATTTGTTTACTAAAATCCACGAGCAGGACTCTGGATAAATTACCATATATATTAATTTAAAATCAATAAATAAAACTCCGCATTTAAATTGCAGACAAATTTTTCTTCAAAATTAATTAGGGCAACTCTGTATTTAATAACAGAGATGTTTTGTAGCCTTTTGACCACAACACCAAATCAAAGTATCAAATGTATTCACACTCAATTTACACAAATATGTATATGAATAAGAGATATATTAATGACAGCACCAGCACTGTCGGGTCAGAGCGGATGAGGCTGTTGGCTTCAGCCGCCGTAGAGACCGGCACGCCGCCCACGCTAATAAGGCGGTCCCCCAAGTGGAATGTGTTGTGCAGGTATGGATGCTCTCGCTGCTTCCACCCAGCCACGTACACCTGCACGATATAAATTCCAGATATAAATTTCATTAATCTACCATTGTGTCAGTGTATCAATCCTGAATTGTATATGTATATAGAAATGTTTTTTCAGCACACACAATGCACATAAACAAATTACAATAAATACTTGACTGAATACCTTCCCGTGACCAGACCTGGGAGAAGCAGTTGACGAAGGCGATGGAGTTGATGCAGTCTTTCCTCCTGAGGGTGAGGCGCACGCCAGCGGCGTGGCTGATCTCCTTCGTCAGGCGCACGACCTGCTGCTCCCGCAGCGACATCACGTGACCCGCGGGGCTCACGGGGAACTGTGGGGGTTGGGAGGAATAGGTGTGGGGTTGGGAGGAATAGGTATGGGGTTGGGAGGAATAGGACCAGGGGATCGAGGGGGAAATTTCGGTTAACTAAGGAGATTAATCAGGGAGGCTGGCGGTAATAACTACCATTTTAAAACCATATAATAAGGGTTTTTCGGGGTTTTAAAACCAAACCCATGGTTAAGTAATTCACTCGCTTCAAGTAATTTAAGTAATCAAGAATAAAAAATATTGTGAGGTAAGAACTGAAATGGAAATTATTTGATTAATTTTATAGAAGAATAGTGATGACTTTATGTGACCAGAGTGAAAATACTTGTACATAATATAGTTACGTTGGGAGAGGTCCGTATATAGAAAAAAAGTTTTTGTAGTAATTGGATAATTTAAGAATCTAGAGCATTACTGACGCAACAGAAAATATGTTGGATTTAAAAAACATGATTCATTATGTTTGAATTTTAAAGCAGGTAATATAATTAAATGACTCACGGGCTGGCGGGGAGCGATGGACGGACCAACGGACGCCGCTCGTCTCGCCTGCTCCCGCCGCCCCGACCGGCGGTGCTCCGACCGCCGTCTGAGCAGCCCCGTGTTGGGGGGCTGGGGTGGTGGGGGGCGGCGCTGCTGTCTCAGAAAACGCCAGGAAAAGTGGTTCGTAAGCTCCGCTGCTGTGGCCGCCATTGTAGTGGCTGCTGTTGTCGTTACCGTTAGTTGCGTCCACCGTCCACTGGTTACATGACGTCACTTCCCAGGAAGTTCCAACATCTCCAGAGGAATGTTGAGTCATCGAGGAATGTCCACCTATGGCGGCCAAACCAGCGGCCACATCCCGTCTTTGTGGCAGCGGCGGCCGACAGCCGACAGCCGAAAAACCGCCGGCGCCGAGAGAGTTGCCGATCCTGAGGTGAGCGTCGCCCACATCGTCGTCCTCGTCGCCGTAGAGCTGCGCCGACGCTACCCCGCCGCTGCTCTCCAGCACCGCCGCCACGTCGTCGAAGCTGAACACGTCGCCGCTGCTGCCCGCGACGCTGATCACCGTCACGTGGTCGCGAGGAGACGCCTGGAGCGGAGAGGGTTTTGAGAGGAGGTGGAGAAGAGGGTAAGACACGTACGGGGTTGAAGGGAGGTGAAATCGAGGGTAGGACGGTTGGGGCGGGTATTGAGGAGAGGTGGAGACGAGGGTAAGACACGTACGGGGTTGAAGGGAGGTGACAGCGAGGGTAGGACACTTGGGGCGGGTATTGAGGAGAGGTGGAGACGAGGGTAAGACACGTACGGGGTTGAAGGGAGGTGAAATCGAGAGTAGGACGCTTGGGGCGGGTATTGAAGGGGGGTGGAGACGAGGGTAAAAAACGTACGGGGTTGAAGGGAGGTGAAATCGAGGGTAGGACGCTTGGGGCGAGTATTGAGGGGCGGTGGAGACGAGGGTAAGACACGTACGTGGTTGAAGGGAGGTGAAGGCTAGGGTAAGACTCGTGGAGAGGGTATTGAGGCTGAGGAAAGGCGGAGGCAAGGGTAGGAATTCATGGTTTCGAAGTGAGCGATTCATACCAAATATGATGGCGATGAGGATTGCGACAAATTTGAGTGAAGCAGGTTTGCTGAGGAATCGTGACGGGATTTTTCGGGGCCAAGTGTAAAGGGTGAAAAGGTGCGGAGTGTTGCCGACACCCGAGATTAATCTACTCAATTTCTCAAAAGGATAAAAAGATATAAGATGCAAACTGTCCTGTGGTAACCAGGTAAAGTCCAGCGTAGAGATCTCAGTGACTTATGATGATGGAAGAAAATTTGAAAATTATCGAAACAGGTGCGACTTTCATCGTCAATGGCGAAAAATTCTTGAAAGAATGAGGGGAAACAGACGTCATAATTTACTAAGCTAGCACGGCACCAGATCTCTTGTGGTCACTGACGAAGGAAAAAAAGCTCAACGAGAAGCGGGTAAAGAAATGAACAGCGGTCGTCCTGAGCTAATTAGCTCTCGCCAATTACTGATCATTCATTGCCCAGCTGAAAAGCACTCTGCCTGAAAATCCGTGCAACAATAGATATCTTCAACAAATCAAGGAACATCCGTGCAACAACAGATATCTTCAACAAATCAAGGAACATCCGTGCAACAAAAGATATCTCCAAAAAAGCAACTAGTATCCGTGCAACAACAGAATTCCTATTCCTAACAAAGACCACACGCTTCAAAATGAAAAACCACGCCACACTCTGAGTGATTTTTCCCTTATGCCTGCCTGGAATGAATCTTATTGCCCGAATAAGTTTTCCCTGAATGGGAGCTAACTTCATCCCAGGTCCGAAGAACAAAAATCAAAGCTAAGGTAACACTCCATCAAATCGAGGGTAACTTTTCTAAAGCTAAGGTATTAAAATATCCAATGTCATATAAATATTTTGGTTACTGCAGTCCATACTATCTAGAGTAGTTTCCCTTGAATCAGGAAATTTTCCCCCCATTATCTGGGGTAATTTCCACACCTTGAATATTGAATTTTTTCCTATTACCTGGGGTAATTTCAACCGTACCTGAGGCCCCTGGGGAGAGCGGACGAATGACACCGGAGGTGCGGGGGTGTTCGGGGAGCTCGGCAGCGACGTACGGAAGGATGACGACCTCCTTTGTGATAAAAATCAAATCATATAGTTTTATTGAATTATCATCGCAATTATAATAAGTACATGATGAAAACCTATCAACGAACTTCAAAGATACGAATAAATTGGCAAATGTGATTTTCTCTAATGTAGACGGCAGAGACAGCATTATACGGAAGAGGGTAGTAACTTTAACCAAATATATTGACTCATAAAGAAAGACATTTATCCACAACAGGGGCCATTAGATTGAAAACTACATTATGCGTCATCACTGCCAGCAATATTGTGATGCATTATTATCATTATTATCATTACTATTATTATTATTATTATGTATTGACGTACCTAGTTGTGGCGTCGTGGTGGCGGACGTACGAAACAACGGAGGAGGCGTTGACGAAGACGTCGGGGGAGGTGTGGGGGGACGAGTGACCGGGGGGAGGGGAGGAGAGGATGGAGGGGGGAAGAATGGTGGATGGACAGGAGAGTGTGGATGGAGTGAGGCTGGGGGCTGGGCTTCCCCCATGTCGGCTGCTCGTCCCCACGCTGCTCACTGACACATCCTCTGCAATGTTGAGGAGGAAGGTAAACTGGGGAGGAAAGATACAGTGCAAGCCCAACATTTTCCCGACAAGGTCATTGCAGTCAAGATTAATGTTCCAACGATGTGATTATAAAACTAAATTTCGGACGGCTCAAAATTAAAAAAAGTTGTAATTTAATTGCACATTGATATTTCAGTGAAATTTGGATTTGATTTTTGAGGAGCCTAAGAAGAGAGGAAATATTCGAAAGGCTTAAAGCTGAGAATATAAGCGATTGAATCATATAAACGTCTAAAATATAAGCGACTAAATCATATAAACGTCTAAAATATACGCGATTCAATCATATATCCGTACAGAATCTTTACCCAACGAACAGAATGCCGATGAAAAGTTAGAGTAGCATGAGAGACATTTTTTCAAACGGAATTGGGTTGCACATTATTCCTGACTCACCCCTGAACTCCATCCCCTGGGGCGGAGGGAAGAGGAAGGCGGGGGTAGGGGGCAGTGGGGAGTTGGGGTTCCTGAGTAGTGGAGACCTGAGGAAGCCTTCGGGTTCCTTGCTGTAGAGGTTGTCACGGGGAGTCAGAATCCCCAGCTCCCTCAGCTTGCTGCGCAGGGTGTCCAACCACTCCATCATCAGCTCCCTGTGGAAGCGGAGAGGTCATTCCCCATGATTCATGTCGAGGTATTCCCCATGTGTATAAGACAATGGTTGGGGCAGACAAAATTGGTCGCTACGAGATATTCTATTATCGAGGGTGATAAAAGGATGTTCATTTCTTCAGTTTAAGAGGGTGTTAATTTCCTCAGGTTAAGAGGGTGTTCATTTATTGAGAAATTGATGGGAAGATAATAGTTCTTCACTAAATGGGGAATTAGATTATTGAGGGGCTCCTGCCTGAGGTGCCTACACCTCTGCCTAGCGTGCCCACCCACCTTCCTGAAGTGCTCACCCACCTGTCTGAGGTGCCAACACACCTGTCTGACGTGCCTACAGGTCGACGTATTAGTCGACAGTCGTATATGACGCGTAGTCTGCAGACGGTCATGTCCACTCACCTACTCTGCAACGCCAGCCGCACGTGCTCCCCCTCGAGTGTGACCGCCAGCACGTGTTCGTTGTCTTGGGTGAAGCGGATGGAAGGGGAGACGTGGAGGCAGCGGTGGAGAGAAAGACGAGATGGAGGCCGGTGGCTGAAGGCAGAGCGCCGGTTCTCGTAGAACTCGAGCCACGGCTCCCCTCCTCCGTGCTCGCCTCCTCCATGCACGCAGAAGATCACCCACAGCTTCTCTGACTTGCAGGGCTGTTGGATAAACGGATTAGGAAGAATGACGACATGGGATCAGCCACATCTCCGACTTGTAGGGCTTTTGGATAAACGGAGGGTTGGGAAAGAATGGCGATAAAGGGTCATCCACAGATTCTCCGACTTGCAGGGTTGTTGGACAAACGGAGGGTTAGGAAGGAATGGCGATATGGGATCACCCACATTTTTTTCTGACTTTCAGGGCTATTGGATAAACGGAGGGTAAGGATGGAATGACGACAAAGGGTCATCCACAGCTCACAGCTTCTCTGACTTGCAGGGCTTTGATGGTAAAGGAGAGTTAGAGAAATTAGATGAGAAGAAAAATGGTAACGGTAGTATGCTTTTAGAAAAAAACGAGAGTTAGAAAGAAGAAAGTAAGTGTAGTTAATGTGTACAGTATAGGGGATCAACAACAACGGAGTATCGGTAGTCAACTTTGCCCCAGCGAAGACCTGCCTACGCCACTTCCTCTCAAAAGGAAACTTGGCGTTTTCTTTGCACTCATTTCCCCCCCATGGTTTTTGTTTCCCCAGGGTTTTTAAATTGTTTATTTAATTATTTTCATGCTTTTTCGATTGCGTTTTTAATTCCTGTTGCACAGCTTAACCCTTTTGTCTACGATCCATTTACCGTCGTCAATGCTATTCGTACCTAGTGGTTTGGGAGCGAGAAGTTCCAAAGGCGAATCGAAAGATATAAGGAAGCAAACATTAGATGGCCGTCAACCTCACGAGCTACGTATTGGCTTCATCTAAAACTTGTTGGAGTGAAGAAATTGCTGCGTTAATAAATTATTAGTTGAAATTATGACATTATTTGTGCTGACGTGTCTAATTAGAAAAATATTAAAATTACTGCGTATTGAGTGAAATGAATCTTACATGGTTTGATTTTCCCCATTAATAAGTACAAACTCATGTCCGATCAGTTAGATACAAAAGTGAGTGCAATTCCGCAAATTTTCGGGTAGTAATGGAAAACAATGATTGTTTTTAGAAAATTATTTTTTATTGTGGAATAATGGAGAACAACGAAAAAGAAGAAATTAACACATTAAAGTAAAAAAATTACAAATGCCTAAAAATATGCTACAAAAACATCCAATGAAAATAGCCAAGAAGTAACGTGCATAAAACGTAATTCTTCACAAATTCTTTACCTCAACAATTTTAACAAGGAAACCTTAAAATCGAGAAGCAAATACTTTACGACGTAATTGCGGCTAGTGAACGGTTGATCAAATATTTATAATAAATGTAGTTGGTAAACTGGGCTACTAGTTAGTATGGGAATTTCTCATACAGAGATGCCAATAGTGTGGACGATGACGACTAGTAAGTGAAGATCTGGCTGGTATGGGACGACTAGTGTGATAACGACTAGTTAGTGCAGGGTGTCTGGTTTCATGGATTTAACCCTCTACCGCCTGACAAGAGTAACCGGAGCAATATTGTCACGAGCCTACTTCCCGAAAAGGATACCTTACTAGTGAGCGCAAAATGACTTGCACTGATTGTTGCCGCCACGTACGACAACTTTAAAATTTTATCTGTTGCGTACAAACGTCCTCAAGTTGCTATACTCAATAGTTTACCTATAATTTAATTGGAAGTTATGTTCCCGGAGAGTGACATATACGGCGGTAGAGGGTTAACCCTTTGCCAACGGATACATTTAGCAGTCGTCGATGTTATTGGTATATCAAAGTCTGGGACCAAGAGGTTCTCTTCAGTACAAAAAGGGTTAAGTTACGAGGGGAACTGCGCGGGAAGCCTACCCGGTATGAGAATAGCGAGGATTGATTCACTCACCCTTGAAAATGGGGAGATGAGCTTCCTCTCGTTTGGGGGAAGACGCTTGAGCCATCCTTGCTTGTGCACCTCGTAGCCCCCCGCTGCCCCACCTGTACAAGATTCATGTGGTTTAATTGTTATCTTGTGATAGGAGATTATTATACAGATACAATGAGAGCATAAATTACAACTTTCAATAAGATGATAACAAATTGGATCTTCTTGTGGGAAAACAGGTTGGGTAGGTTGGGTAGGTAGGTTGCGTGTCGTATGTTTTTATGAGGTACCAAGCATTCGGGTACCAAGTATTAGTATTAAGGCAAGAATTAAGATATTTAGCTGGGAGGGACAAACACCAGGGCAACAGGCAGGTAATATCAGTGGGTAAATCTCCGAAAAATGCTCAAATTAAGAGACAGGCTCCATGTCATAAAAACATGAAAGTTGTGCAGCTGGAGCAGTAATTAAATCTCTCTGGCCAATACTCTTAATCAATCATAATAAATGATTAAATGAAATTATTTGAAAATTTATCTTAAAAAGATAAATTCCTTATATTTATCCTTAATCGTTTGAATGGAAATCAGGAAGCATAATCTATTGAAATTACATCAGAAAACATTAATTTTTATTCGAATAATCAATCAGAGTACATTATTCCTGAATCAAAGGTTCATTTCCTTATTCAGGGATAATTAATAAGGGTTCAAAAATGCAAATGTAAGGCTGTAAGACTGTACGTGTTGCAATGCACTTTACACGTCAGATTGACGTTGACGTGGATTGAGTGATCCTGTAAATTCAGATGGTTCCGCAGCCAACGTTTGGTTGAATTCTTGCAATAAATTTCGTATTTTACGCTGTAAATTTTTTTTGCTTGCAGCAATGAGCTCGAAAATCAATTCAATTTAACAATGTATCCTTAATCCTGAAAATAACTTCCAATATTTTTTATGAAATCAAGAGTTATTTTCTTCGCCGACTCAAAAAGAGTACACGATAATAACTGATCGTTGAAGGTTCTTGCATTTATTTTCACCTCTAATTTTCGAATAATCACGCACTTCTTTGGACTTTATTTTCATTGTCTAAATTTAATTTTGTAAATTTAGAATGGTAAATTTTACACAAAAAAATACCGCTTTGTCCTGCTAAACAATTTGAAACAAAGTTCTAATTGCTAAATTTAGCTTGTAAAGAACCATCTGGCAAGCCCGTTATATGCAAGGACCACAGCTGTGCTCAGCACTGCACCGGAACGCTTCTTGTCGCAGTTTCTGGGTTTCCGAAATTGTTTTTGTTTTTCACAAATGTTTAATCAAGAAATACATTGCATTGAGTAATATCCACAGCAAGACTACTCGACAACTTTGTAAACAAAGCAGCTAGTGAGACAACAAACAGATACTGAATGTAAGTGAGAATAACAAAATTGAAAATTACACCCGGGTCTTTCCATGAAAAGAAGAGGCACAACTACTTAATAGTCCAACGGTGCTGCATAGCAAATTGCTGTGCAGCAATTGCTGTGGTGTGCGGTGCTGCACAAAAAATTATATTCATATTCACTGTTAAAGACGGTGCTCGAAGCGCTGCACGGGGATGCAAAGTGAAGAAATGTTCCGTACGGTGCAATGTGGTGAAGTGGTGCAGTGCTGTGCTGCCCGGTGCAGTACGGTGAAGTGCGGTGCAGTGCTGTGCTGCTCGGTGCAGTACGGTGAAGTGCGGTGCAGTACGGTGAAGTGCGGTGCAGTACGGTAAAGTGCTGTGCTGCATAGTAAGTAAGGCGAATGACGCTCTGCTGTTCTACTGTAAGGACGCACAAGCGAAAGTACAGCGTTGCTCCCTCCAACCCTGAGCCCCACAGGTACTTGCGACACCTCCAGTGGCCTCACGAGGACACACGACTCAGTGGCCCCACAAAAATGTCCGACCCTTGCAGTTGCCCCACGGGAAAACTCGGCTGACCCGCGGCCCCCTCAATGGCCTCTCTAGAACGCGCGACCTCCTGAGTAGGGTCGCGGCCCGCGCGTTGGACCCACGGGGCGTTTGACCTTCTCAGTGGCCTCACGAGAACGCTTGACCCCTGCGGTGGCCTCATTTGGGTCATATGACTCACTTGTTGGAGGGGGAAGGAGGTGGGAGGGATGGAGGAGGTAGCACCTGGGATCAATGATATAAACTGGGAGACAGTAGGAATAAGAGAGGAATTCGGCGAGTATTTAAAGAAATGATGGGGAGATGTGCTGGGGAAATGTTTAGCGATGAGTGCTGGTGGATTGTTGGGAAGAATTGCTGGGGGATTGTTAAGGGAAATTTTCGGGGGATATGTTGAGGAAAATATGCTGAGAGAGATGTTGAGGAAAATGTGCTGAGGGAGATGTTGAGGGAGATATGCGGGGTGATTGGAGATTAATAAATGGTGTGGAGAGATGGCTTTGATGCCACATTCGAATAAGGAAAGGTAGAGATGGAAAGTAGGATATAAAGAGTGCGAGGAAATATATGAGGATTGGCATTGGTATGCTAATGAAGCATGTGTGTGGGTGGGATGAAGATGGGTATGAAGTGAGGAATGGATGTGGCTTTGAGAGGGATGGGTGAAGGAAAAAAAAGTACTTGGGATGCTTTGGGGGGATGCGGGTGAATTGGGAATATGATTCAAGCGAGCTGGAGGAGTGAGGGTACATTGGGTGATGAAGATGTGGGTTAAAGAGTTGTGTGTGGGAGGACGGTGGGAATGAAAAGAATTTAGGAGAGAAGCATCTAGAAGAACGTGAGGTCGGGAGGTTGTATAAGGAAAGAGCTGGAGGATGGATTGAGACGTGAGAGTTGGGTGAGTGAGGGTGAATATGAGGGAGTAGGGTTGTAATATGGGTTGGGAAGGAGGGATTGGCCTGGGGATTTGGATCGGGTTACTAGATAAAGATGGTTATGAAAGAGCTATGTAGATGAGGCTATAAAAATTACGAATTCTAGAAGGCTCTAGAAGGAAGGTGGATGTGTGGAAATGGGGTAGAGGTGAGGCAACACCGGCGGTATGTCTGAGGCTGGCGGTGGTATGACAAGAATGGGGAGGAGGGAGGTGGGTGGTAGGGTTTCCAGACGCGCAGGAATGGAGGTTGGTGGGGTAGGGGTTCGGGCTGGGGTGGATTGGGTTGAGGGGAAGAATGCAAAGGCTAGAGTACTACGATTGGGGGCGGCGTAGAGGAGAGTGGAAGAGGGGGGATGATGAGGCAGAAGGGAAGGTAGAAGGGAACAAAAAAGTCATAAGAGTTAATGACGAATAATAGGGAATTTGAGTTTTGGGAGGAATGGTAAGGGAAAAAAGGTGTGGATTGAAGAGGTTATGGTAAGGTGAGAAGGAGGCGAGTAAAGGAGGAGGATTAGAGGAATAGAATCCATGGTATAAAAAAGCGGGATTTGGAAGTTGTAGAAGTTGGGAAGGGTAAAATTAATGGATCAATGGGGATTAGCAGGTGTTAAGGCATTTAAAGGTGTATTAGGTGGAAAGAAAAATAACACTACATTACACTCCGATTAATGTGGCTTAAATTGATGAATTTATCAACTATCGCTCTCATTATCACCGAAAACGTTGAGGTTACTATAACACTAATAGACGTGATTATTGATGTACAAATTGCTGTAAGCTGAGTTTACCGGCACAGTTGACTTGATGCCCGGCAGGTTAATTTGTAATGCATACAAGAATATAAGGAATGAAAAACACCATCTAGTGTACATATTGGCCCTAAGACTGACAACGCTCTGCTAGTATATTTATGGGCTTTGACTGCACACACAATAACCAAACTGTGGGTAGCTATTGTAAAATTCTGATCAGGATGCAGCAAGGCGAGGTTGCGGCATTACGATGTTCTGAAGGACCTCAGATGAATCACGACTCCCAAGCAACAACAAATAAAGTAACTTACTTGTATTTTTGGATAAAATAAATGTTTAAATAATAAATAAAATATGTTTAAAATAATGAAAAAATACCCATATATTTCATTTCAAAATAATGAAATGAATGTATCAATAATGATAGGAACGCACGCATGACGTGCAATAAAGTAAGTAAATACATTTTTATTTTTATTGAGTGAATACCAAAGGAATTTAATAGAATCAATCTATTTATTAAATTTTCTTTGGTTGCTCAATTGGTATTTCTTATATTGTTCGTATTATTGAAGAAAGTGAAAAAATTCACATTCATTTTGTTTGTGAACGCATGTATAAGGCAATCGTTGGCATTAACGTGAACCGTTTGCTTGTCTTCCTTTTAATTAATCTGCCAAGGTTTATGTGGTGTTCTCAATCACGACGAATTTGCACTAGCAAAGCAAATTATTAATTCGAAATTTCCTTGTGAGATTAGTATTTTATAAACGATTTTTCTCGATTTTTGTACGCTTGGAAAAATTTCTATAGATTTTTGTACGCTAGGGGAATTTGATCGTCTATTAAATTTCCTAAAATATATAAGTTTGATCTCCTAATAATACATTTTAATAGAATTCCGGGGAATCTTGCTCACGCCAGCTCATTTTTGCTAAGAATACCGATCACTTTTTCAAGAATTTTTTCTCTGAAATTCCAAGAATTTCAGCACCTACGAACATGGCTGTCGACCTTGAGGATCCAGAAAGTCTTGATTAAAAAAAGAGAAAACTGATCTGAAAAAACACGAGCAAGGCCCGGAATCTTGGCATCAAATTCCAACAAGGATAGGAATCAGTATTTTTTTTATTACGAACAGGAATTTTGTCCTCAATGCTTATTTGAGAGTTTTGATTATTTGTATGCATACATTTCAAGAGGATTTGAAAAAATATTAGAAAAAAATTTGTTCATATAACATAAGACAATTCTTACGTTCTAAAAAAATGTCTTTGCCTAATTTGTCAGCTGATCAATAAAAATTTCATTCGCAGTCATTCTTGTTTCACGACGATATTATTAACATTATTATATATTACAGTGCAATTGGATATTTTAACTTGAATTTTTATCTTGTTTATCTGAAGATTTATACGGTGATATAAAAAATATTATAAAATTTTATAATATTATAAATTATTATAAAATTTTCAAATAATTA